TTATACCATTGAATCCAGCTATTTCTGACACAGTGGCTTTCTCAGATTCCTTTTCTGGCACTGCAGCTGGAAAACTGGGCCTTTCAGCGGTCAGGAGAGGAGAAGAGCTTTCCAGTAAACAGAGAAGAGAGGCAGGGGACAGATCTGAAGCAGGAATAGTGTGAAGAGAAAGAAGCCAGAGTTACATCTATGTAACATGTTAAGGCTCAGGCAGGAAAGCAGGATGAGTCAATTTTAAAAAACAGAAAAACAGAAAGAAAAGCAGTGATTTATTACATAAAGGAAAGGCTTGGTTTCAAATTGGAACAAAAGACCTGTGGAAATTGCTTAATGTTGGCTGTTGATTATTAATGACCCTAATCAATTCATTGATTGCAACTTTACGCAAACAGAAGAAGAATGAAAAATCAACCCCACAATCAATTTCTATCAAGGGAGGAATACCAGATGAGTAAAGCTTGGCTATCTGCGGCCGATTTTTCCCCCTTTTTTCTATTACAAGTAAAGTAATAGCTTTAAGGATCCCTCAGTTTAGCAAAGGAGTAAAACTGAACACTCAAGCTCACAATCATATAAGCTAATTAACATTATATCACAGCCGTCAACAACTTTAGCAGGTCGAGCTATTCGACAGCCTAAATCTTAGCAAATAATATTCCTGTCAACCTAATTAACAATGAAGCTTCAACTCCACAATACGAAAAACAATCTAAAAGCTACTATAGCTTAGTTATACTCTTCTTTATTATTTTACCCGTATCAAACAGGCCGCTTAGCTACCAAGCTAAGCTAAGCTAAGGATGCTAACGCGGCTACCTGCTGTTTTCCACAGGATCCGCCGCTCGAAGCCGGTAAACTCCTCCACACAGAAACTCAGAAATTAACACGAAGGCTTAATGCGACTTGATTCATCGCAAATGTTATCAATGACCATGAAACACGATGATCATTGTGGATGTCAGCTCTCCTCTTCCTATCTTTGCTCGGTCTGAATCAGCTGACCAGGAAATCAACACAAACAGCTGGTGGAGGAGGAGGAGAGAACGCTGCAGATGTTTGACGGCCTGCGGAAAATGTCTTACCTTACGTTCTTTTATGCAGTAAATATTCCACACAGAAATTCTACACAGAAAGTTCAAATGGGATCAAAGTAATATATTTTTGGAAAGAAGAAAAATCTGGTCTCTTCAAAGAAACAAATAATTTTACCAATGTATTTATGGTGCCTTTACTTTATTTATTGCAAACAATCACCAGTGCTGAGACAGAGAATTGTGCCAAGGGTATTACCACTTGTTTCTTCTAATAAATACGGTAAAATAAGTTTTAGCTGATCTATAAATAGACAGATTCTTCGGCTCTTTCTGTACATTGCATGCTTTCTTCCTTGTTACATTTGGGTTGCTTAAAAATGTTGAGCTGATAACACTGACAACTTCACATTTTCAAACAAAAAATACGTTATTTTTACTCACAAAGGAAAAGACTGAGTCGTTTCTTTCCCACAAATCCAATTGAGACCAAACATAATTAATGTACCCAACATCTTTTTAAAGGTACAATCCCCCACCCTCCCAAAAAAAAGTTGAAAAAAAGTTGAATCCGTATCCAAGGTGTATTTTATCACATAAAGGCAAAGTCTGATTTCAAATTGGAACAAAAGACCTGTGGAAACTGCATAGTTATGGCTGCTGATTATTAACGAACCTAATCAATTCATGCAACAAAAAAATTAATGTAAATTAATTTATCCATCTTTTTTACCTCGTTAAGGGAGTCTTTTGTTTATTTGTGTCATTTGTCATTTGTGTCATTTCCAGGTAATTTGAAAGAAAGTTGAATCTTGCTATGAAACAGAAAGCAGGAGTGGGATCATAAAAGTTTATACGTATCCTTTTAGCACAAAATTTGTGTTACTTTTATGCAGATAAATAATATATCGGGAACTTTGTTTTGTTGAACGTCCATGTACGTCATTTGGACATTCAGCATTTAAATGTTCGAATTAAACCTACTTATATCTTTCTTTCTTTTTCTTTTTTTTTTTGCTATGTATGTTATGACCTTTAAAACAAAATCAGAAACTTTAGATTTTTATTTATTAAGTTTATTCTGGGAAATCGTCTCTGTCGAGGTCTGCCACACCTGTAGGTGGCAGCAGCGTGTTTGTTATAATGGCAAAAAAAAAAAAAAGCACACGCAAGAAGAAGATTAAGTTTTCACCGGAACCACATTGAGCGTGCAGTGGGAGGTGAGTTGGTGAGCTGTAGATGTGTGTTTATAAGCTTCTTTTTTTTCCTTTACAATTTTTGTTAAGTAGGTGGTGTTTATATGGGTGGAGACGGTCTCACCTGTGGTGTTTCTTTCTGTTTACAGGCTTCACAGAGAAATGCAGAGTGCAGCAGGCAGCGCTAACGAGGCTCATCCTCTGTTTGGAGGAGCCCTGTCAGCTGTGATCCCTCACAGCGCCACAGACATCAGCGAGCTGAGGGAAATCCCGGACAACCAGGAGGTGTTTGCCCACGCCCACACAGACCAGAGCCTGATCGTCGAGTTGGTGGAGTACCAGGGTCAGGTGGCTGACCAGGATGCAGCCAGGTACCACTTTGAGGACATCGCGGGAAGCAACAAAGCTCTGGAGCCGGGGGCTTTTGAAGTGACCAGTGTTGTGGCTCTGCCCAAATCTGAGCTGTGCCTGTCAGAGTGCAGCACTGCGTGGATGCTGTCTGGGACTCAGTGCGTCTCTAAGTTCAATGAAGAAGCAAGGAATTCAGTGACCATCCACTTGGGCCTGTTCCGTCTGCCGCAGTTCTCCACAGATGTCCTCATAACATTTAATGACCCGCAGAGTATCAGCCCTGAGAGCAGCAGTGCCTGTGCAGTGGGGACACACCAACAGCCCTGGATGGTGAAGGACTTCCAGCACCTCGTACAGACTCTGACTCTGCATAACCCTGGCCTCTTCGGGTAGAGCAAGTCCACTTTTATGATGTGGTGTCTCTCGGTCTCTCTCCCTGGAGGACATTAACAAAATTTTTAAAAGGCAGACTGGTTATAGACTATATTATTGAAATTCTGAGCTTATTCTGTTTGCATCAAATGTCATACAACACATCTCCCCGGTGGAATAGACCCTTTATTAAAAAGCCACCTTTCCCCTGTACCATAATGTAGTTGCTATTATGGGGGAAAATGCTTTGTTGAATAACCTCATAGTTAAACTTTTTTAAATCTCTCAATCAGTTCAGTAGTTAATTACATATTTTAAGAATATTTTATGCATGGCGTCAATGCTATGGTCTGTTTTAGGGCTGAGATATAGTCAGGTGTATGTTTTGATGCAAATAAAGTTTTCAGAGAGCAGCAGCCATGCTTCTTCCCTGAAACACAGGAGTCCCTGTTATGCTTTGTTCTATTTAAAAACTGCACTATTGTTTAGTTTTATTTAAAGTTCAAATGATTGGTATGTACCATGCCACTATATTCTGTAGTAAATCTCACATATTGGATTAATATGAGCAAGTTATCGTTCATTTGAAGACATTTCCTTTCTACGTAAAGATACAGTTGGGTCTTGAAATGTTTACAAGGTGATAAAATTTCAAAATCAACTTTAATTTAAGGGCTGAAACAAAAACAATTAAATGTTGAAAAAATTAATGACTTTATTATACATGTCTGGAATTATTTGTCTCATTCTCTCTGTATTTTACTCTAAAACACCGCTGTTGTACTCAAGCATGTTTTATGGAGACTTATTTATTTTATTTAAACTTTATTTATACAGGGAGTCCTATTGAGACTCAGTGTCTCATTTACAAGAGAGACCTGTTTCAGACACAAGTAAATTAGAAATGACTAACAAAGAGAAATACCTTATTCTTGTGTATAAATTACAGTCTTCCCCTTAGGACTACTTGATTTTAAGTTTGTAACACCCAGCTACTGATATGCTCCCTATACTGGCTGTTTTTACAGTACAGTGGTGATAAAAGTAGTGCCAAAAGTCAGTGTACAAGTCAGAAGGTTTTGGCTAAAATTAGATCCCAACATCTCTCTGGAGAAGTTAAAAACAAGAAAATATTCATGGAGCCCTCTGTGCCTCCACAGAGAGCTCCATGGTTTCGTCATAAACAGTGAAAACGGAGAGGACCAGTCCCAGCAGGAATATGTATTAGGCCGACTCTTTCCATCATGCACACCAGTGGCCTCATGGTGGATTAATTCATTAGTCTGAACCCTAAAATCCCTTGGCGACACTTCATTCAAGAGTGAGTTTGGTGAAACCAAATTTATAGAGTGGAATATGGCCTCTATTAAGTGTCCTTCTGCAGTCAGATTTTTTTTTAGATTTCAGCATTGTAAGTCATGTGGTGTATAATCAAAGCCTTTTCCAGGTACACGTGTTATTGTAGGAAGAAAAAAATATTTTTAACTTGAATCTGCTGTTAAATAAAACTTGTCACAGCAGGAGAATTCAGGTGAGTCGTTCATAACAAATAAAAATGAAGTAAAGTCTGTCTCCCCAGTGCCACATCAAGCCCTCCTCCTCCTCTGGCACAACCACGACTGATTAAGAATCTCATAAAGTCAGGCGTCCTTTCCTCTCAGTGATCCCTAAGCAGCACATTCCTTCTTTAACCAAAGCATACTCTCTTATTAGAACAGCAAGTTTCCTTGAATAAGCATTGTGTTGGTTCTGTTTGTAATAAAGAAGGAAAACATCCTGTGTTTCCCCATGAGGGCTTTGGGGAAAGGTATTTGATTTGCAGGTCATGTCAGGAGACGCTTTTCCAGCTACCA